ATGTATGTTCTTGGTGCCTTTGTTGAAGATCAATTGGCTGTAAGTATGTGGGTTGATTTCTAGTTTCCCTGTTCTGTCCCACTGGTCCTAGTGTCTGTTTTTATGCCAGTACCAGGCTGCTCTGGTTACTATAGCTTTGTAGTATAATTTGAAGTCAGGTAGTGTTATGCCTCCAGCTTTATTTTTTTTGCTCAGAATTGCTTTGGCTATTTGTGGTCTTTTGTTGTTCCATATGAATGTTAAGATTGTCTTTTCCATTTCTGTGAAAAATGTCATTGATATTTTGATGGGGATTGCATTGAATCTGTAGATCATTTGGGTAGTATGGACATTTTCACATTGTTAACTCTTCCAGTCCAAGATCATGGAATATCTTTCCATCTTTTTGTGTCCTCTTTAATTTCTTTCAGCAGTAACTTGTAGTTCTTGTTGTAGAAATCTTTCACCTCCTTCATTAACTTAATTCCTAGGTATTTTTTTTGTGTGTGTGACTATTGTAAATGGGCTTGCTTTTTTTTGTGTGTGTGTGACTATTGTAAATGGGCTTGCTTTCTTGATTTCTTTTTCTGCTAGTTCATTGTTGGAGTATAAAATTGCTGCTGATTTTCATGTGTTGATTTTGTATCCTGCAACTTTACTGAAATCATTTCTCAACTCTAAGGGTTTTTTGGTAGTCTTTAGGCTTTTCTATATATCTTCTGCAAACAGGGACAATTTTACTTCTTCTTTTCCAATTTGAATGCCTCTTATTTCTTTCTCTTGCCTGATTGCTCTGGCTAGTACTTCCAATATTATGTTAAATAGGAGTGGTGAGAGTGGGCATCCTTGTCTTGTTCCCATTCTTAAGGAAAAAGCTTTCAACTTTTCCCCATTCAGTATGATATTGGTGGTGTGTTTGTCATATATGGCTTTTATTGTGTTGAGATACTTTCCTTCTATGCCTAATTTGCTGATAGTCTTTATCATGAAGGGATGTTGAATTTTGTTCAATGCTTTTTCTGCATCTGTTGAGAAGATCATGTTTTCTGTCCTTGATTTTGTTGATGTGGTGTATCACATTTATTGACTTGTGTGTGTTAAACCATCCTTGTGTCCCTGGGATGAATCACACTTGATCATGGTATGTAAATTTTTTGATGTGTTGCTGTATTCTGATTGCTAATATTTTCTTGAGGACTTTTGTGTCTATATTCATCAGAGATATTGGCCTGTAGTTTTATTTATTTATTGTATCTTTGTCTGGTTTGGGTATCAGGGTGATGCTGGCCTCATAGAATGAGCTTGGGAGAATGGCCTATGTTTAAATTTTTTGGAATAGTTTGAAGAGAATTGGTATTAATTCCTCTTTAAAAGTTTGGTGGAATTCAGCTGTAGAGCCTTCTGGTCCTGGGCTTTTCTTTGTTGGGAGACTTCTGATTACTGCTTCAATCTCATTGCTTGTTATTGGTCTCTCCAGGTCATCTTGGTTCAGTCTTGGTAGTTTGTACGTGTCCAGAAATTTGTCCATTTCCTCCAAGTTTTCAAATTTGTTGTCACGTAGTTATTTATAATAGTCTCTAATTATTCTTTGTATTTCTGTGGTATCAGTTGTAATGTCTCCTTTTTCATTTCTAATTTTTATTATTTGAGACTTCTCTTTTGTTTTTTTAGTTAGCCTAGTGAGTGGTTCATCTATTTTGTTTTCTCAAAAAGTCAATTTTTTGTTTCATTGATCTTTTGTAACATTTTTGGGGTTTCTATTTCATTTAGTTCTGCTCTGATCTTAGTTATATCTTTCCATCTACTGTTTGGGATTGGATTGTTCTTGTTTTTCTAGTTCTTTGAGGTGTAATGTTAGGTTGTTTATTTGAAATCTTTGTATTCTTTTGATGTAAATGTTTATTATGATAAATTTTCCTCTTAGTAGACTTAAATATACATCCCCCAAACTATAAAACTCCTATAAGAAAACACAGGGGAAACACTTCAGGAAGTAGGACTGGGCAAAGAGTTTTTGAATATAACCCCAAAAGTACAGACAACAAAAGGAAAAATAAACAAATGGGATTATATCAAACTTAAAAGATTCTGCACAGCAAAAGAAACAATTAACAGAGCAAAAAAGATAACTTACAGAGTGGGAGAAAATATTTGCAAACTATGCATTCAGCAAAGGATTAATATCCAGAATACACAAGGAACTCAAACAACTTAACAATAAAAAACCAAATAACCTGATTACAAAATGGGCAAGGGAGCTGAATAGCCATTTCTCAAAGAAAGATATACAAATGGCCAACAGACACATGAAAAAATGCTCAACATCACTCAGAATCAGGGAAATGCAAATCAAAACCAAACTGAGAT